ACCCCAGACCTTGATCCAGTTACTCCACACTCCTGGAAGCATGTGGTATTGGCACAATAATGTATGGGTATCCTTAAATGTTTTCCTCAGGACTGATGCACTTCTTACGGAAAGTAAAGTTCCCAAGCACCATGTCCCCATACAGCTTTCCATACCTGCTGCAGACATGTTGCTTTTTCATATTGCAGTTTGTCAAATTGGGGAAAAAAAAGGTTATAACTACTGGGGCTAGATTCACAAAAGGGTTTAAGCACTTGTTATGGAGTCCACTCCCACATTAGCACTCCTCCATGGTCGAGTGTGTCTCGTACTTTCTCTGTCTGGCTATCTGCTGGAGAGGACGTGTTTGGTATGTGGCCTGGGACCACACTTCTTTTTATCCCCTTGCAGCAGTTGATAGGGATTGGGAGGGACCCAAGTCTATCCACTGTCCTGGTTAATGGAGCAGGGATCCTGTGAGTAGCAGTTACCTGCTCAGAGTCTCTAGTGCCTGCTGCTACCTTGATCTCTAGGCCATTTCCCCAAGAAGCTGTGGTGACCCTCTCACTCTCACTTTCAGGGTTTTAAGGCCCAGTTTTAACAACCTATCCTGGGTTCTGCAGACTTTTGCATTCTTCAGTCCCTGGAACTGGGGCTTAATAAGGTCTAAAGTTCAGCTCTCACTTGGAGTTGGCCAACATGCTGCTGTCCTCCCAGTCAGAGCATAGGTTTGGCTGGGTCTAGCTCCAGTGAGGAACTGCCAGGCCCTAGCTCAGCAGCTTTTTTTATACTGGCATGCTGGGCCCTAATTGGCCACTGCAGAAGCAGTCACTCTATCCTGTTTAGAGGACCTGTCTTCTGCTCCTCTCATTAGGGCAGAAGAAGTAGAGTTTGGCAAGGCCTCAAGCCTCCAGTAGGGTATATCAGGGCTTAGTCTGCTCCATAACAGCATGTTAGATGCCTGCATCCAAAATTCAAGCCTCTACTCTACTGCTCCCTAACCTGTAATTTTCTAAATTCCCTTAGCACCTGCATTTTCATTCGTAAAGTTGCCTATTCTGCTTCTGGGCATATGCAAAGCCACCTAAATCCTGAAGGCCAGGTGCCTCACTCACACCTAATCTTGAGCAAGAAAGTCAAATAGGCCCTGCCCTCCAGATCAATCCGTTCAGATAATGACACCAAAAGAGGTGTCACTGATACTCTTACTGCCAGTAGCTCACTTGTCAGACCTCTCACCCAAAACTTTGGAGACATACAGGCTGTGTCTAGATTGGCCATTTTTTCCAGAAAATCAGCCACTTTTTCAGAAAACTTGCCAGCTGTCTACACTGGCCGCTTGAATTTCCTCAAAAGCACTGACTTCCTATTGTAAGAAATCATTGCTTTTTGCGGAAATACTTTGCTGCTCCCGTTTGGGCAAAAGTTTTGCGCAAAAGGGCCAGTGTAGACAGCTCAGCTTTGTTTTCCGCAAAAAAGCGCCGATCGCAAAATGGTGATCAGGGCTTTTTTGCGCAAAAGCGCGTCCAGATTGGCACGGACGCTTTTCCACAAAAAGTGCTTTTGCGGAAAAGCGTCTGTGCCAATCTAGACGCTCTTTTCCGAAAATGCTTTTAACGGAAAATTTTTCTGTTAAAAGCATTTCCGGAAAATCATGTCAGTCTAGACGTAGCCACACAGCTGGTAGTCCCAGCTGTTGCCATTTAGGAAGAGTTTTTGAACAAACAGACAGACAATCAGATGGGGAAGGGCAAGCAGCCCTGGTATAAATCTTGGGGGGGGTTGTCTCTTCCACCTTCCCCACACACATCCCTATATGCAAACATGTGCACATACATAAAGCCCCCTGCCTTAAACCCCTCCTCACCTCAGTCCTTATTCCTGAAGCCCCCACACTACCAGTCCCCTGCCCTGATTCTCCCCCCCCACACACACACACACACTACCCTAATCCCAGCTGCTGGCTCTGAGCCCCTCCTCACCCTCAAACCCTAGTTTCTGCACCCTCACAATCTCAGCCACCTGCTTTGGATCAGCCCCACTCCTCAGTGCTCCCAACCCTCTAACATCAGCCCCCTGCAACACACTCCACACTTAAATTTCTTTCAGGTACTGTTGTAACTCTCTCTCTCTCTCTCTCTGTCTCACACACACACACACACACACACACACACGAACAACAAAAACCCTGCTCTGAGGGTCATCCCAAGGGAGATTGTGATATGAAATGCCTGTATGAAATATAAATTAGATCAAACCACAGGGCTTGAAACCGATTCCTTTAACATTGTGCACTTACATATCCCATCATTTACCCAATCACAGAGAAGAAAGCACTGGGTTAGAGAAAGAACAACCCAAAATTCACCCTTTTTACACAGGAAACAGAAATAAATTATTCTTACAAGGAAAAGACCAAATTAATTTTGTCCCAATGCAAATTTGTTGATTGCTAAAATGTGGGCACAGTCTCTCCTTCACTGGGGCTTTTGATCTATTTCCCAATCAGTGTGCTCATAAACCAGTGCAGTTTTGAGGAAACCAGGAGTAACATTTTTATTTATTTCCCTCAGAGACCGCATTGGAGAGGACTGGTAAGTCTGCAATCTATGTTTTCTTTTTTCAGTAACACCACAATGTTTATTATTGGTTGATGAATATCAGAACTAGGGGGCCTGTTCACTATACTCCCCTCTGGGCCAGGGAGGCCACCCAGCCCCACATCTTCCCACCTCATACTCCCTGCTGCCAGGGAGTCTCTGAGGCAGCCCCAGCCCTGGCTTTTCCCCCTTACCACCAGCTAACAGCGAGTGCCCAGCCCCAACGCTGCCCCAGCCCAAAGAGAACCTAAGCTTTTGCCTCCCTTGCCAGCCACCTAGAAGGGGTGGTCTGAGGCCACATCAGGCCTGACTCTTCCTTTGGCCACCACTAAGAGCCAGTTTAAAGCCTCACCAGGCCCAACTTTCCCCCTCTCCCCAGCACCTGGGAGGGGACAGCTGAGGTTCTTTGCCTGCCCTCCCCCTGCAGGGAGGGTCTGAGGCTGTTATGCCTCTGTCCTTGGCTCTTCCCTCCTAGCCCCAGCCTCCCCTGTGCTGGGGAGGGCCTGGCCCCAAGTCTGCCATGGTCTCAAGGCCGCTCCATGTCTTGGGCCCCCTGACCTCTTGCCCCCTGGGTCTTTGCATCCCCCTGGAGCTCTTTCACTAGCAACCGGGGTAGAGAGACCAGGCCAAAGTCATGCTGGGCCTGGCTTTCTGTATCCATTTTGTCCATTTTATTTGTCCAATAATTGTAATTACATTGTTTTGTTACAAAAAGGCAAAAGATACAGTTTATAACAAATGACCCTAAACAACCTAGAATCCTTCTGTATCTTTAAAATGGACAGATACTTCATCTGGTCGGTCATCTGAAGAGGTGGACTGTGCCCAGGAAAGCTCATGATACCATCTACATGTTTTGTTAGACTTTTAGCTGCTACTAGACTATTTGTTGGTTTTTATGTTTTTCCTAGATACCTCATGATGAGGACAAATATATGCATTAGATATTTTCAGTAACTAATAAACTAATAAACTTTTATTTTGTTCTACAGAAAATCCAGTTGAGGCTAAATTAGCCATCAAAATCAAGGCTCTCATAGGCGTGGTTTTTGTCCTCCTTTTTATCATGATCGTTTTATTGTATTTATATCTAAGTAAGAAAATCTTTCTTCTACATTTCTAAACTTTCTTCTTGATTATAAGGCCATATTCTGTGTAAAAAATGTATGTAAGAAATAAGGTTCTTCTAATGTAAACAAAACAATGTATTCCATTCTTTGGGTATGTCTACACTGCCACCCTAGTTCTGCACTATTACTGCAATGAGGAGTAACTAGTTCAAATTAGGAGCTTTAATTCGAACTGCCTAGTCCGTGCTGTGTGTAGCCGTGGGCAGGGGATTCGAACTACCGGGGGCCCGGGAACATGCAAATGAAGCCCAGGATATTTTAATCCCGGGCTTCATTTGCAACTTCGAATGACTACATTAACCACCCTAGTTTGAACTAGGGTGGCTAGTGTAGACATATTCTCACTGTTTAATTTTAGTTTTGTTTTAGGGGCAGTGATGTTAGGGATGTGGTAGTCCTGTGTCTTATATTGACCATTGTTTAAAATTAGGTTTTATTTAGTATTAGATGTGCAATTGTTCCCACCACTGTGTGAATTTGAATCTGGGAGCTCTGAAGCTGAGCTTAATAGCCTCTACTCTCTGAGCTAGAAGCCAGCTGGCTCCCAGAACATGGTGTAGAGATCTCTTGGGGTACGTCTAGACTACATGCCTCATTTAAGAATCCCCGCTTCATTAAAATAAACATGGCCACTGCACTGTGCCGGTCAGCTGTTTGTCAGCACAGCGCAGAGAGTCAAGACACAGATCTATTGGCGTTTCACGAGGCATAAGGGATCTGTCAGCAAAGGCTTCTCCTGCTGACAGATCCACATCTTGACTCGCTGCGCCGACAAACAGCTGATCGGCACAACACAGCAGCCATGTTTATTTTAATGACACAGGGATTATTTAAATCCCTGCTTCATTGCCTATGTCAACCTGCCTAATCTACATGCCTCTGCTAACAGAGGCATGTAGTCTAGATGTACCCTTGGTGTTAACTGTAGCTGTGGTCTGTGAATCACATTAGTTGTGTGGGTTACATACTTCCACTATGTGAGGGGGCATTCAGAGACCCTACTGAGATCCCAAACCCACCTCCACATGTAACTACCACCCAATGGTTTTGAACCTGGGACCTCTGGAGCTGAGTATAAGAGCCTCTATGCTCTGAGCTAAGAGCCAGCAGGTTCTGAGCCTGTCCTGTAAAGGTCTCTTGGTGTTTGCTGCTGCTGTGGTCTAAGTGACACTGCATGGGGCAGTGAACCACACTAGGGCCATGTCTACACTGGCAGGTTGCTGCACCAGAAATATGCAAACTAGGCTAAGTGTGGAATATCGTCAAGCCTCATTTGCATACCTAATATACAGCGTAGTGGCATTGCACAAGAGGGTTTTTCTTGCACAAGAAGGGACAGTGTAGATACTCCTTCTGGCGCAAGAGACTTTTCTGAAAAAAATGGCAGCTCATAAGGTATGCAAATGAGGCTCGGCGATATTCCAGGTTTAGCCTCATTTGCATATTTCTGGCACAACAACCTGCCAGTGTAGACATAGTCTAGGTGTGTGGTTTACACAATGTCCTATGACTTTGATGCTCCATTAAATGATTTACTCAATATTTACTGAAATAGGCATCAAGGGAAATATTTTGTGAGGCGGGTACAAATTATTACTAGATAGAGACTTTATTTTTTTACTCAGCCCTCATGTATTACAAGGTTTCCTAGCTTTCGATATCAAGCAAAGGAAAATAATATCTTCCCACAAACAGGGTGCTCCAAGACTAGGAGGAATCGCAGCAGATATTTATTGGTGTTTGCCCTGGTAAATCCTGTGCTTAGGGGAAGGGCTAGAGTAAATTATTTTCTCACCCTGACAATAATATCAATGTAAATTTCTAGGGTAGATATGCCTAAATCCAGTCCTCTCAGACAGAGAAGGTATTTGAACCTAAGTCGTTTCATGAAAGGTGAGACTTAGACTCCAAAGACTCAGAGGTCACAGGGCTATAGGTGCTCAGTAGACATAAGCCTTTCCCTTATCCTCACTGTTTCCTATTGGCTAGTTTAGGGCTTCATTGTAGCCATTTTAAGGTGTCTAATTCTCCCCACACATTATCTAGGGAATGTGAGTGCCTAACTCCAAGTAGTATGTTGCACTAGGAGGCAGGTGACTAAGAGATTAGGCATTGCAATGCAGAGTCCTAGCCCTTGGTGACACAGTCTTTAAAATATATTGTAGATTTGCTACCTTGATAGGTGATTTCCACTGAATAATGTTGAGATCCTTTTTAATGAATAGTCACCATTGCCTATATATATGTTAGAATGTTAAGTCTATAGGACTAGAGGTAATGAGTAACTGATACTGGCATCTCAGTTGGTGATTTCATATATTATTTCTGATTTTATTTTAGAAAACAAAAAGAAAGAACCTGGAAAAAGTAAGGATTTATGTTTATTCAATTATAACACAAACACACACACACATACACAGAGATATCCAGAGAAAATATTTATGGTTACTACTAATTTTCTAGATGAATATGCAACCAGTGAATTAGCCAATCAGTTAAAATTATACTTTCCCTTCCATGAACTGTCCCAGCAGAGAGAAAGAGAGAGAGAGGGAGGAAGTCACACTCAAGAGACAGGGCCTCTGGACATGCCTGAGATCCTGCAAGGGGTAAAGAAATACAGAGTAACACCGGGTAAAAATAGGACAGTGTAAGCAGAAAATGAGCAAGGCTGGAGATATTTGAGGTGAAATGTACCTGCAGTATGAAGATGCAGACCCCAATAGTGGCTACTGGAACACTACTCTGATAATATACATGGGCTGCAGGCCAGGGAAGGATGCCCCTGGCCTAGGCACAGCACATCGCCCTTCAGCTCTATACTGCTCTGACTGTGAGGTCAAGGGAATGCCCAATGGTAGAATCACAATAGGCAGTGGAACAGCGGTTTCTGGGCTGCAACACAACTCATTGCACAGACAATACAGCTTGTTAAGGTGTATCTGAGCTACTTAGCACATACCTAGGGTGCCAGGTGGGAATGCAATCTGATGTTTAGCCCATGACGCCTTCCAGGCTGACTTGACTACATTGCTATTTGTAGCAATGTAGTTACATCAAAGCTAGCTCGATATATCCACACATGCTGCCATTACACTCCCTGCCTGCAGTGTAAACATACCTTTAGACATCATGCCTGATCCTATGCAGGAGTTAAGTCGGGCATAAATTTTCAAAAGCTATGTTCGGTGCTGAACACTTCTGAAAACATAGCCACAAAAGGTGACATTATAGATTTCTCATTAAATCAGGTTTAGTTTCTGCTGCACTCCTGTGCTATTCATGACACTTGACCCTCATGCCACAGCACTACGCCAGTCATTAGTGGGGACTGTGTCCAACCATGAGACATTTATGGAATAAGAGATTTGACCCTCATGCCACAGCACTACGCCAGTCATTAGTGGGGACTGTGTCCAACCATGAGACATTTATGGAATAAAGAACTTTGGAAAACATAGAGCATGTGTTTGTTAATTTGAATGCTTTGGACCAGACTTTCAGTTTGAGAAAAGAAGACTGAGTATGTACCTGAGAGCAGTTTTCAAAAATGTTCAGGGCTGTTACTAAAATAAAGGTAATTACTTGCTCTGCGTATACTCTGGAAATAGGACAAGTTGTAATGGACTTAATCTGAAGCAAGGGAGGTTTAGATTAGATATGAAGAAAAAACTTTACAATGACACTGTAACAGTCTTAACTTGGAAAAAGGAGGTTTCACAACTTGTGCCTGTCATTGAAGGTTTTAAAGAATAGTTTGGACAAAGAACTGTCAGTGATGGTTTAGGTTCACTTGAACTTGACTTGGCACAAGGGACTGGAATTGCTGACCTCTAACCATCCATTCCAGCCCCACATTTCTATTTCAACCAGATTAATACGAGCTGACAATCTGCCCCATATGTCCACCACATGTAATAGCAGAGGGATATTTCTGAGGCAATATGAATGTGCTGCCATAAATATGTGATATAGATTGTCAGTGTGAAGGAGCTATTGCTGTTAAATATTGTGTTGCTTTGCTTTCTTTTAAAGGAGAACTCCTCTCTGAAGAAGAAGGTAGATATGAGATCATATTCCATTACTTCATCATTTAAAATTGTGTAAAATTATAAGAATCCTCTTTCTTTCACATAATAATATGTAGCATCCATTAGGTTGTCCCTAGATTTCTTCAAAACAAATTCAAAGTATTTTTCTTTCCATTGGTATAAAATGGGATGTAAATGTATGGGACATCTTTTTAAATGTATTTTGTGATGGATCATGATGAAACACACTCCTCCAGCCCTCCCAGTAACAACTGCATAATGCCCCTCAATCATATACAAGGATTTCTTAAAAGCAAAAGTATTACTGGGAAAGTGCTGTGTCTATTTAGATGCCTTTCCTCAGAGATCATCAGAATCCTGAAGGAAAATTGTTCCCAAACCTTTTTTTTCCAATTACACCATTGCATCTTCCTAAATTTCCTGGACCACTTTCATTTTGATATATAAGTTGCATGTGATGATGATGATGGGCTAATTTATTATTTTCAAATATATATTTTTCTAATTAAAATAAGATTCATAAAGGAACCAAATGTAAACAGCTTCCAAGTATTACAAGTTATCACATCAGCCTTATTTTCACATCAGCAGTAATTGTGTGGTGCATTCCTGAATGGATAAGTGCAGCTAGCACCAGAATGCACTTGTCAGCAAAGGAATGCTCCCAGAACCATAATCTTCATTCATTTAAAAAGATAGGTCACAATTTATGAAGGACTTCATTTGAAAACAAAATAGCATCATGTCATGAATTTTCCTATGGGCAGCAATGTGAAGGTAACATGTCAAACACCCCTCCATATCCCACATCACGTCTGCATTAGTACACAACGAACATTTGTTCCACTTGGGAGTAGAAACAATTAGAGGGAACACTGGTCCAAAATGTGCCAGACAAATATTGTGGCATTTTTGTTCCATGTCAGGCCTTTATTTTGTGTTCAAAATGAAGTCTTTCATACACTGTGACCTCCTTTTTCCCATGCATGCACCCTTAGGGTGAACTTAGGGCACGTCTAAACTACATTCCTCTTTCGAAATAGGAATGTAAATGAAGCAAATCAAAGGAGCAAATGAAGCACAGATTTAAATATCCTGTGCTTCATTTGCATATTCACATCCAGTTGGTGTTTCAAAAAGGGTTTTTTTAAAGTGAAAGTGCAGTCTAGACGAGTTTCTTTAAAAAAACAAATCCTTTTTCGAAGGAACCCGTACTCCTGAAAAAATTAGAAGTATGGGTTCTTTCAAAAAAGAGGTTTTTTAAAGAACCCTGTCTAGACTGCACTTTTACTTTTGAAAAACCCTGTTTCAAAACACCAATAGGACGCAAATATGCGAATGAAGAGTAGGATATTTAAATCTCTGCTTCATTTGCACTTTCAATTTTCTTCATTTACATCCCTCTTTCAAAAGAGAAATGTAGTGTAGACATAGCCTTAGCTTGACACACTTTGCAGTACACCTTAAGACGCAGATTGCCACATAATTGATGATAGACCTTTGCCCCCCCTTCCGCTCCCCTTTACTCCAGAGATCTCAGGATCCCACTCCGGATCCACTTTTCTAAATATGTGGTATTGTTTGAGGAACAAAAAATGGCAGGGTTCTTGGGATGGATTGATTTTAATCAAAGTGATTTAAATTCCTGTTTTAAAACATGATTTGAACCAGTACCTCTTGATTTGAATAAGCAATTTTAATGGTGTTTTGTATTTGTACTTTGTAGTTGTTTTCCTAAGGAAAAGTTTATTCTCATTGAGTTGTAACCATTAAACATTTTAACTTGTATCTAAAAATAGTTTCTGAGGCCAGGGGCAAGTGAGTAGCACCCGGAGTGGCATGGCCTAGGCTCTCCCCAGTGGCTGGGGCGGGGGAGA